GAAACGAAGAAGAAAAAGATTCCACCAGCGTGAAAGATGCGGAGAGTGGAAGTTCTGAACGCATACCGGGCGGTGTTGAAAGCCACTCGAAAATCATTCGCCGGCGACAGTCAGATGCTGAAAGGATCTGCGGCGGAGGTGCGGAAGCAGTTCGAGGAAAACAGGAATGTTACCTCCGAAGCGGAGATCCAGAAGCTTCTAGCAGAGGCCAACGAGGCCTCCGATTTCATCACTAACATGATCGTCCAGGCGAAACTCAATCCTGAAGCAGGAAGTTACGGTGCGGTTTCTTTTCCTCTCTCTCTTGTTCAGCACTCCACCTGTTTGTTAATTTGTTTCTATTGGAATTTTTCTTTGTTCCCCTGTTGTCATCTATACACATTCATGAATCAGCATTAGCTCTTTGTAGCTGTATGGAATTTGAAATTTTAGAGCATGTTATAATTCTAAGAACTGATAGTTTGGGCTTCTTCTTTCTACTTTTTATTGTTCTGGAGTAGCAATGAAGTTTATTCAATATGAGAACTTTCAACTGTAGAAAGTATTTAGGATTTATTTGGATTACTTTTAAATATGTTTGGATATTATAAAATGAACGGAGCGGAAAGCAATAGAGCATAGTGAAATGTAGCTGAGAGGAATAAAGATTCCATTCCATCGTTTGTAAATTTTAGGATGGAACATGGCAAATTATTCATCCCACCCTAATCGGAGGGGAAGAAATATGACGGAAAGTGATGGAATGGAATGAAATCCATACCCCTCCATTCCACTCCGCTCCATCCGATTTTAAATGATTCAAACAGTGAAATACCACTCTATTCCAACTCATGCCGCTTTGCTCCATCTGATTCCATCAATCCAAACAAAGGCTTTGAGTTTAGGACGTGACCTTCTCAAGTAAAATAAGTTCACAGTTCTTGAAAAAAATCTTTAGCAACCTATAGATGTTTAGGGAGAACTTAAATAGTATAAATGTTATAGAGAAGTTAGAGAGTTTCTTACGGAAAATTTGGATTAGCTTCTAACTTATCAGAACTTGTTCATTCAATGGGTTAATAGTTATTCACTTGTACAAAAATATCCTTATAGGATTGTAAATGTTATAGAGAAGTTAGAGAGTTTCTGAAAGAAAATAAAAAAAGATACAAAAGCTAATTTTAACATATACAATAAGATTTTTCTTTCCAAAACTCATATTTATTTTACATGGTTCTTTTAATATCTCTTTCTCCATAAGTGCTTGTTTAGAAGTTTATCTATCTAGCTCTTAGTTGTAACTTGTTTGTAAGTCATAAAAAGTTCTTATAGAGAAGCTAAATGAGTGATTTTCTGAAAATATTGAGGTGCAAACTTTGATTTCAATTTATTAGAGAAGCTATTCGCTATGATGTTATTATTATTATTAAAAAAAACACTTTTAATATTTTCTTAACAAGTGTTTTCAAACTTCTTGTTGCAGTAGTGAAGCCCGGCAAAGAGCATGCAGGAGCGACCCTTGAACTTCCTTCAGAAGAAATTAATCGGAAGTCAGGATAAGGACATAAGTGAGGAGGTTAGAACAGAATGTTTTTTCTTCCCAATTGTTTATTTTTGTTAGGAGCAGCAATAAGTAATGTTTCTAGTGCTTGGACCGATTGAAATTTTTGCTTAGATTTCTTTTGTGGTAGTTTTTGTCTACCTTGTAATGTGTTGTATGATTGTGCAATGTAGCCCGCCTCTTTGTTAACCCGTTTCATTTGAAATTCCTATATTTTATACTCATTTGGGCTTTGATTCCCACACAAGTAGAGAAACAAATTTGTCATCATTAAAGTTTTGTCGTGAGGACCAACCTGTCGTGAAAAAATATTTACTCGTGAAAATATGAGGGTTCATACCATAACTATGAGGAGTCAAAACGAAAATGGGAGCAGATATAGGTAAATCATACATTTAGCATAATAATAATATAAAAAAACACTAGAAGTACTAAAGTTGAAGTTGGTGAAAACTGTAAGGATGTTTAAATCTTTCAAATTCAAGGGTTTGTTTACACTTCCCCTCCCCTGGTTGGCATAGCATGAAGCTTCAAGGTGCAGTTGTGAAGATAAAACATAGTATAATTGTTGACTTCCTTGGCTCCTTGGTCACTGTAAACACTAATTTCAATATGCACTTGATAACAATGCATAGCTAATAGCTATCATTATAATAATTTACAGGCTTACTCAATTGAATTTTCGGAACAGCCAATAAACAATGTTGCATATGTGGCACTGGCAGTTGAGTTCAGGTTCGGACACAAAGTGCGTGTATTAAATTTTGGGAGTTATATATTGCTTAGAACTATACTTTTGCTGCATTGCTAAATTATTATAGATGTTGCTTTGGGCATAATATTATAAGATATACGAGATTTCTTGTATAGTGCCGTTGTTTATTCGTGTAAGAATTTACTCTTGTTATCACCGAGCTATAGAGTGAAGTTTATTAGGAGACGAACAAATGTGCTTATCATATAACTCTTGTTTGAAAGTCAACTTCTTTAGCCAGTCCTCACTTATATTTCCCAGTTGCATGACCCTAAATCAGAGTAGTCAATCCCAGATAGCGGCGCGGAGCGACCGACCCCAAAAATGGGATAGCGGGATGGTCGCTATTTGATCATTTTTTGGTTAAATTACTTGAATAATAATTATAAACATATGAAGTGAGAGAGGTGAGGGAGGAACTTGTGATTTTTTTTTGGAACGACTGAAGTGTAGAAACATCGGCGAAGGAAGGTTAGGGTTGAGTCTCAACTCAAATTTAATTGAAAAACCTAAAATTACCCTTAAAACGTTTTAAATTTAAGGGGTAATTTTGGTTTTTCATAGGAGAAAATAATAGCAAGACACAAACCTTCGGGCTAGGAACCGCTCCGCCCCCGCTATTTACCCTATAGCGGCTGCTATAATGTTCTGCACCGCTAAGGCTTTTCCCATAGCGGTCGGCCACCGCTATAGCGTGATAGCGCCAATATTGGCCGTTATTGACTACTCTGCCCTAAATTATTAATTAAATGGTTTGCTTTTGTTAGAAAAAAACCTTATTTCATAAGCAGAGTTTCCATTTTTGCTTATGAACCAACAACCTACCCTCTCATAAGGAACTGCAGAAAACGGAACAATCACATGCCCAAGCTGTAAACTACCATGCCGTATGACTAACTGCTTGGTGCTTGTTTACAAGGTTGCCAATCATTTGCATAAAAGATGGAAAATGTTGCTATTGCAGTTAGTGAGTTTGTAATCCATGGTTTTTGCTATAAGTTTTGCATGGAAGCTCTTTAATACCGCGAAGAATAAAACATAGGGTGAAGTGGCCATCTAAGCTGTAGCATTTCATAGTTTATCACTTGTTCAAAATAGTGTGAAGTATGAAGCAAAGAGTAGATTGGCTTTGCCAGATTGAAATTTCTGTCAGAAAAAAGTCAATGAACAGAGTTGATATGCAGAGTAGGACAGTTGGAAGGAAATCATGTTGTGAACTATCGATGAGCCAAATACCTCCTCTATTTTAATGACATTACTTGAACATCATTACCACCTTATATATATCTGACCTGTGGTAGAGTCTAATTTTTTGCTCAAGTCAGGCAAATACTTCTAAACAAATTATCCCCATTTTTAATTTTGTAGAAAAGATACAAGCATGAAAAAGACCACGTGTATTTTAAACCAACATGAACTATATCTGCTAGTGATATCGAAGACCAGATTCAGTTGCTTAAGCTTCGTCTTCTATTTATATGCTCTTATCACGATTCACGACTATATTTTCATTGGTATTTGGCTAACTGGTTACACAGTTATTTATAACCTATGAAGCACGGACACCTCTAGAAGTAGACGTGTCGCAGTGTCCGACACGTGTCGGTGTCCGACACTTGTATGACACCCGTACGATATGTGTCGGAAAAGTCAAACAAGTGTCAGAAAAGTCAGACAAGTGTCCTAAAAAAATTAGTTTTTTTTCTTTACTTCGACACATTTTGAATTGGTGTCTGATACCTATATGACACTCAACAACACGTCCGATAATTCAGACAAGTTTCTTTAATAAAATTGGTGTATTTCTTTTCCTCAACACACTTTATACATTTTCTAAACAAATCTCATGCACGATTAAAAGGGTTAATCATGTATTGAATAAATGTTATCAATGAAGAATTAAAGACATAATTATGATTAAAATATTTGTAACTCTTTTGATATTTGATGAATAAATGAAACTCAAATACTATTATGACATATATAACGGTGTCGGTGTTGGTGTCCTAGGTTTTTGACATATCGGTGTTGGCGTGTCAGTGTCCATGTTGTGTCGTGGTGTCCGTGTCAGAGTCTGTGCTTCATAGTTTATAGCTCAACTCAATATTCTATAAAATAAAATATTTATGTTATGCATTTGTCATCAAACTAACAAATAGAAAGAAAAGTTTTGTAACTAACCCTTTATATTGTACTGTTTACCTGTGATGCCTTTTAATGTGTATCAACACAGTTTGTAGTTTTTAGGATTTTTCGTTAGCAGACTGGTGAGATTTATTATTGCAATATTAAATTATCTCATGCAAATGAGCTGTGCAGAAGCACTCACAATACTATAAAACTGAAGCATCTTGTTTTTATCCAAGACTATAAAGAGAACCTCACCTTCCAATCACATGTTACTTACTTTTCCCTTCTATTTCATATCACTGTCCATATACCTTTTTTAGTTGAACTCACTTGTCTCTTGCCTATGTAACAACCTACCTCAAAAGGTGCAGTAAAGTAAGACATGGCAGTAACAGTTAGCTTTGAAAGTTTGAAGGAATCTACCATTCTCAATACTAGCTATACAGTTCATTGATTCAACTATAAGAACTCTAAAGGCCACTCCTATCTTTTCCATTCTATTTTTGTACTGATAAGTGCCAAACTACTACTTTGTTTCATCTTGCTTCAAGTTTAACTTCTTGGTCTTTCACCAAAATGGTCAGAAAAATATCATACCTTACCTTACTGCTTGCATTTTTATTTCTTTCATTCCTTGCAAATACTAGCCAGTTGGCATTTGCAAAAGGGACAGACAATGTCAGAGAAGCTTGCAAAGTAACTAGGTATCAAAACCTTTGTATGCGCTCGCTAGCACCGTTCTCTAACAGTGCTGGAGGAAGCCCTAGTAAGTGGGCAAGGGCAGGAGTGTCGGTTACAATCGGAGAGGCTAAGAATGTTCAAGCTTATCTGTCAAGCTTCAAGAGGCGCGAGCATTTAAGAGGAAGAGATAAAGTTGCACTTTTAGATTGTGTTGAGACTTTTGCAGATGCCATCGACGATCTTCATAGGTCACTGAATGTGCTCAGAAGGCTTAGCAGAAGCACATTTGGTACTCAAATGGGGGACCTTAATACATGGTTAAGTTCAGCACTCACAAATGAAGATACCTGCCTTGATGGGTTTCAAGGCAAAAATGATAGGAAAATTAAATCGCTGCAAAATAAGGTTCGCAAGGTTTATTATGTTACCAGTAATACTCTAGCTCTTGTCAACAAACTTGCCACTACAGGTCTAGGAAGCATGTCTGATCCATAGAAGTTATAAATGAAATGTTTCAACAAGGAGCTAGAATAAACTGTTTACATGCTTCTAGTTTGATCAATTAGTGCCATGCTCTTTGTTCATGATAAGCTGTCTTATCAACTTATTTCATTCCTAATTTCCGAGTCTTTGATTTCTATCTACAAGAAAATATATGTTATCTTAATATGGCCATTAATAGATATTGTTTTTCATTCATAAACCACATAAACAGGGATGGATATTTAAACTGTTCTAATAACTATTTGTATACATCGTAAATTACTTCATGCACGTTTTTACTGCTCTTTATTTGAGCCCCGTTCCTACCAACACTCCTTTTTTCTTGGAATTACCTTCTAAATTTGAGTCATCAAATTGACGAAGCTTGGTGCATTTTGCGCCTCTTTAATGAAGTTTTTTGGTCTTCTAGTGACCAAAGGGGAAGCATTTACTCCATAGATAGAGTCGGTGCTTTCTCCCAAATGATGGATAATATGGGATGTTGGATATCCATACGATGAGTGGCATATTAACTAGCCATAGAAGTTGTAAGATACAACCAACATATTTCTAAGAAGCTGGATCATTGCATGTCTAATATGCAGTGGCGTCTAAATTTCCCTGAAGCTATTATTGAAATATTATGCCGTTTTCACTTTGATCACAACCATATTCTTTGTGAGCTTGTTTTCTCCTATTAAATTTCTCTTCATTTCGTATTTTAAACCCAAGCACTAAAAGATATGTTCAGGACTTTAGAATCCTATTACTCACAATTTCCCTCTTCTCATTTATCCATTACTTTTAATGAGTAACTGTAATTTGCTGTAGGTAAATGAAAAAATAAAAGAAAGTTATATGGGGTGTTCGAATTCTAAAATTCATAACGGATTTTGTAGTGTTCAGAATTCAAAAGGGTTTTTAGAGAAGTTTATTTATAGAGAGAAGAAGCCATCGTCTTCTTGGCAATTTTTATTCTTACCATTATGCTTTCTAACAAACACTTGTTGAAAATTAAAAAATTCTCTTAAAATTCGAAGATGTATCTCCGAACGTATCATGAATTATTTTTGTCAAAATTTGATTCGGAGATGTATATCTAAAAATAACTCTGATAAAAGAAAAACAAAAAAAGATACAAACATTATGTATATTTATACTTTATAATCATAACAACTTGACATTAAATTAAAACACTAAACATTATAGAGATAATTGATAATCGAAAAATTAACATTACATATCGTCATAAACGAGTAGTTCTGAACGTTACAACACATTGATAATATCTTCGACGAATTTTGTAATCTTCACATCCACTTCAATCAGACCATTTGTTTCAAATCACTGAAAAGTACTCCACAAAACTTTTAAATCTGCATCAGTCTTCGGTTAAAAGTTGGTGAACTATATCTTCTCGTCATTGTTAAACGAGGGTGAATAATACTTGAGCTTGACAACTCGTCAATTGTCTGGATATCTCAAGATCACATTCATTTCAGATATCAGGTCGATGTGAGTTATGTCCTTGCAGATCCTAAACTGAAGTGGCGGCATGTCACCATTGAAAAACACTGATGCAAGGTGGGGATATGTATTCATTTTTTTTTTGAAATTGAGTGATTTGTAGAAAAAATGAGATGAAAGACACTCTATTTATACAACACTTTGGATATTAGAAACTTTATTATGTCACCATAGCAATCTTCAGAGTTGCATATCAGGATAAATCTATTTTTTTTTTTACGAAAAAGAATTTATTCGGAGTTGCATATCTGAAAAGTTCTTTAGTATTTTTTTATAAATTAAAGTGGGATTTATATGGATACGCATATCCGAAAAGTGTTCTGAACCATAAAACAAACCCGAAACTTAGAAAACATAAACAAAAATTGTAAACCATAAAATGTGTAAACAAAATTAGTTGACATTTATGCCATAGTTATTGAATATATTATTATTTATGTATTAAATCGTATCAAAATTATATCGTTGACGATAATACATTTAAAAAAAGTGTATCGACCTGGTTTGACCCTTTTTTCACTGAATGATTAAATGATAAATCTCATTGAAAAATGCTTGAAAAATGGGTTCAGAGGTTTTTTCAGAGATGCATCTCTAGATACACTCTAAAAATATTCGAAGATGCATCTCCGAACTAAATTTTGGCAAAAATACTGCATGGTGCGTTCGGAGATGCATCTCTAAAAATTGCTGAGTATATTTTTAGATTTTCAGAGGTGTGATTCACACAACAAGGATGGAAAAAGAAATTGTCATCTTCTTTCGACTTAGTTCTAACCCAAAACTTTCTGAGAATTAAGCCTTTTAATTTTAAACCATTATAGTTTAGGGAAATGTTCATTACATCCCATATACATCTCTTAAATTTTATAAAAACTCAAAATTACACTTTTGCACAATTTAGATATTGAAATTCAGATGCACAAAAGTACAACAAATCTCTTCATGATCAGAAACAGACACTCATCCAAGTAAAAATATATTCGAATTACAAAGTCCTGTCACATCCAAGAACAATATTACTTGGGTGTACTTCGTGCAAGATAACAAAGAGCATATCCAAATTTTAGTATCTGAACAAACCCCTAAGACTATATTGGATGTGTATTTTGTATATATGCATATGATGAATTCAGATTTCAATCTTTAGACATATCTACACGATGTCAAATGAGTATACTCAAATTTTAATATTCAGACAAACCCCTAGATAATATTATAAACATATGGACAATATTATGTATAAGTCATTATCCATTAGTCACAAAACCATACATTATTCACACTATAAATCATACATAAGTCATTCATTTACAATTTATATCAAACCATACTTTGTCCATACACTAATCATGAACCATATATAATTCATAACTCAATTATTCAAAATGTTTATATCAAAATAGAAATTAAAATAAAACTATTGGGTATATCTAATGCCTTTGTTTCTCCTTTACCTCATATACTACACTACAAATCATGTCTATGATAATATTGGATCCAAAGTGACCTTCTCAAGAGTACCTTATTGGAACTTTCCTCTAAATATGACATCTCTTTCAATAGCAACAATACAGTGACATATAAGAAATACATCCACAACCTCTTGTATGTTCCTCTTCTAGTAGCTCATGCTGAGCTGACCTAGGGGAATCTCTTTCTGCCACTGGTGTCATATAAGGATGGAATACTCTATAAAACTATTGAATATATCTATATAACGTACTCTATGCTCGAGGAACTGGCACACTACGTATATCCTCTGACACAAAATGCTCATGTTAGTCGACAAATATCTCATCAACATCTTTGCGAAGAACAATGGCAAGAGCAACCATCATGGGGTTCCTAGGTATACCCTGCAGTTACCTGAACTACCACAATATTCTCCCATGTAGATGTGAATATATATGTCAAGCCCTATAAGTCAGCCATACAGAGTATCATGATATCACCTCCATATGTCGTGTATATAGAGATGTCAATTTGGCCCATCCCCAGTGGGTACCCATAAAAAATTCCATAACGGTAGGGTAAAACCCCGCATAAATGGGTACGGGCATGAGCTTGGGTAATTACCCACTTAAATAAGCGGGTATGGGTGCGGGTATGTGCACCTTAGTACCCACTCCGCCTCATACCCACACACTATATATATTTATATACTTTAATTTATATTATTATATTAAAACAAATATCTATCAAGTTCTAAAAATACATCGATGTTAAACCATTACATATGTAACATAAGTGTTTCTTTATTTCTTAATTCAATAATAAATATTTTGAAAACATTTAAATATTCTTAAAAACTTAAAATGATATGATTATTTATAGTTGATATATTCATTTTTATTAGAAATGCGGGTAATGGGTATGAGTATGGGTACTTACATACCCAATGAGCACAGGTACGGTGCTAAAATTGTTACCCAAGAGGGTATGGGCTCGGGTACGGGGATTTTTTCCATCTGCGGCTATGGGGATGAGTTCTATAGTATCCTCCCATACCCTGCCCATTGCCATTCCTACGTGTATGACAATGCTCTCCATACAGTGAGAAATAAATATCATTCGCCAGAATGCTGTTAAGAGAAAGTATGGCCGACTCAATTGTCTAATTCCCTCTAAGTGGCAACTCTTCCCTGTAGTCATAAACATACTCTCAATCGATAATATCAAAGAAATGTTGGAGGATTCATACCTGTAGAATAAGTAGTATGAAATTAATAAACAATGTGTAAAGCAATTACCTGAAATATATAGTTGCATTTAGTCATTTGTCTCTCATTCCATTTATTGTCTAGATAACTTGGAGCACAAGTAAACTAAAGAATCTCCCCCCATTTGTACTCATGAATCCTCTCCAAGTTCACGAAGTATTTAAGGTAGACAACATCGACATGGGTTGCACTTTTGTCTATGAAAATGCTCGTGCCAACCAAAACCTGAAAGTATGTCTTAAATGTACATTGTTTATGGTAGCCAACTTATGCATCACCACCCGTAACATTTACAGCTGCATTCAACTGGTCATTATATTTTTTTGTTAGGAATGAAAATCTAACATTACACCCTTTGGTGTCTTCTATCTCCTTTTGGACGTCGCCCATATCAACTCTTAATTTTGTCACCATTAGGCCAAGTGTTTCATATATATGCATTTAGAGTGATCCAACAATCTTCCTGTGTAGGAAGATGGAGGAGACACAATACATCATCAAAGGTGATACTCATCTCACCAATATGAAGATGAAATAACGACATCTTTGCGTGCCATCTCTCAACAAATACGGAAAAAAGATCACGGTTAATATAACCATAACCTCTCATATAGAAGTCTTTCATACTAGATAACTCAAATACATTTTAAAACCAAGATTCATTTGGCTAGGGAAATATTTCTATCTTCCTAGCATGATTTATACACTTAAATGTATCATGATATTGCAAAAAAAATACATTAACTTCAAACAATACAAATT